CTCTGCAAACTTGCACCCGCCCATTTGTGAGGGCGCTGATGTCGATTCTGAAGTCCTTTTGGGTTGAAAATGTGCTGACGTGGCGCCAGCCTGTGTGCCGCCCAGCCCGCCTGCCCGCTCTCCCTGCGCCTGCCTGGCCCACCCCTCTGGCCCCTCTCTGCTGCTCCCTCGACCCCATTCTGTTTGTCCTTGGAATGCAGGCAGCACATCCCGGTGGCCGCCTCGGGACCGCGCGAGGTGCTTGCGCGCATCACCGCTGAGCAGGTTTGTTCCTTCTTTTATCGAGCTGGTTCATTGGTTGCCTATTACTCTTAAGCTGCCTAATCATGGAATACCCTGCCATGCTGCCCCTGCAGATGGTGGCACTCGAGGCGGCAATTAAAGAGGAGCATATGGCACGGTGGAATCCGGCAATCTGCCAGGTGCGGAAGCCAAGGAAGAAGGAAGGCGAGGTGGGCTTTGCCGCCGCAGTGCTGGAGCGCATAACCAAGCAGTGGCCCGACCTGCACAGTTGGTTGCTGAGCACAGATGTCGACCTCATCAAGAAACACATCTGGAAGGGTAAGTTAGGGGGCAGATGGGACACACAGCAGGGTGCAGGCAGGCCATTAGATTCGCAGGCCTACAACCGCCGGCCAGATGCCCGCCACCTGATTCTTGGCCCTTGATGCCGGCCGCTGCTGCAATTCCGCAGAGACCAAAGGAAAGTGCCCGCATGAGGTCACGGCCGCGGCACAGGCAAATGAGGCAGCGCAGCAGCAGGCAGCAACAGAGGAGGCAGCGGCAACAGTGCTGAACCGTATCCCCAACGCAGCAGGGGCAACGTGGGAGCAGCTGAAGGAGTTCATGACGGTTGTTGATGCCGACATCAGCACTGGCAATGTGGGAGAGTGGAAGGGACATGATGGCTTGCCTGCGACACGCATCATCAACCGGTGCGGCTCTTGGAAGCTGCAGCAGCAGCTCACGCAAGCCCAGCAGAAGGAAATTGTTCAGTTTGAAACTAGGTGCCGCATGAACTTCTTTTAGTGTTTGCCAGTTGGATTGGTTGGTCTGTCTCAAATTTGACCATGGGGTATTAGCAATGTGACCTACATGCACTCAAAGGGA